GTGATGGGAGAGAATGAAAATGCTAAAGGAAGACATATGAAGGAACAAGAGGACTGCCTCCTATGCTGGAACTGTAGAGACTAGAGGGTGAAAGACAATATGGACCTGGAAGTTATGTTGAAGTGAAGCAGGAAGAATTGGAGGTAGTTGATATTCTGAGTTTTGCAGCAGGCAAAATATCTCTTAAGTGGTCACAAGATAGGATGAACATGTGTGACCTTGAATTCTTCTTTTCATCCTTTAAACTGGCCCCTGTTCCTCCCTAGTTATCGAGGACCTGCCTGCCATCCAGGGTTGCTTCTTAGTACCCTAATTTCCATACTCCATATTCCCCCAAAGCCCTAAGTACTGAGATGCTACTGTTGATGAGGGAATGATGGCATAGGAAACTCTAAGAGGACTCATCTTAGTCTCAGATCTCAGCCTTGACATTAAAGTCCTGAAACCTAATCTAAAAGGACTGGTTTATTTATTATGTATGTAGGGCAGGAGCTAGAGAAATGAGAGACACAGGGAAGAGCCTGTTCTGGGCGTCAGCTCCTGGCCCTACCCTATCCTCTGCACAAACTAGCTCTATCTCTGTGCGGGAATTTATAGCCATAGATGTGAGCGGCCCTCTCTCTCAGTCTGCACTATCATTCTTCCCTTCATTAAATACAAGAGAGTTGTTAAATAAGCTCTCAGCAAGCATCATAAAGGCAGTGTAATCCCATGCCTGTTCCAAAAGTCATTATCAGTTTAGACTCTGCCCTTTGAGGCTTCTTAGAGCCACCACCACCACCACCATGGTAGTGCTCAGGGCTCATTCACCCAGTGCCAGTGCCAAACTTTCAGCTGCATGCAGGGACCCTGGCATCCTGGCTCTCTGGGATTCTATCTTAATGCAGCACTTCAGTAGACAAAACAATCCTTTCTTAAAGGGGGAACTAGGAAATGGATGTACGTACTAAATACGTCACATCCTTGGCACCTGTGATGCGCTGCTGATCGCCCTATCATGAGATCAATTAGCTCAATCCTGAGATTGCCCCACCTTGTCCACCTGTTCAGTTGAATGCTGTAGTCTGGCTGGGGAAAGGGAATTCTATACACGATGTGAGAGGAAAAAGGAATGGAAAAGGATTACTGAAGTAAATTTCTGGGAAGCCTTTTTGGAGCAAGAAACAAGGCACATGGCTCCCAAGGGGGAAAGAACAAGGAGAAAGAAGTAAGCTTGGACAGGTGACTGCTACTGCCTTTAGTTTAAAAGGAGGAGGTAACTCGAAAGACTTAGGAGAGATGGGTGTCACACATGATTTTCCTACCTCTTTCTAAGCCTCAGAGGGAGGGCCTTTTTCCAGAGCTTGGAAATGAGAAAGCAATTATATCAGGTGTCAATATTATTTTCCCTCTTCTCAGCCCTGCACTCATCCCGTTTTCTCTCATTGCCTGGCATCCAGTGTCACAACCTACCTGCCCTAGGAGTAGGGCAGACACTGTCCTGGGGGGTTATTCCCCACCTGTAACTGCTATCCTCAGGTGTAGATACAAGTGCCAGTGAGGAGGCCGCTAAGGGAGGCTGAGGTCTCCCTTTACGGCAGAGCTGCTGGAGCTGACGTCGATACTTGTCTCCAGTAAGCAGGTAGAGCACAGGATCCAGGCAGCTGTTGGCACTGGCCAAGGGTCGAGTCACTTTGTAGACCACGTTGACAATATTCAGCATCCGGCAGTCAGCTTCCAATAGCCTTGCCATGTAATAAATGGTGCGGGTGATGTGGAAAGGCACAAAACAGACAGCAAAGACAGTCAGTACCACAGCAATGGTGCGGAGAGAACGGAGACGAGAGGATGACTGGGAAGCTCCTGGTAGGGGCCGAAACAGGCGCCGAACCATAAGACCGTAGCAGACTAAAATGACCAAGCAGGGCAGACCAAAGAGCAGCCCCATGATTGCTGAGCTGAAGTGCACATAATGGTCAAACTCTTCAGGCCGAGTGGTGTCATGGCACAGGATGGTGGCTCCCTTGGTGCTGGTTGTGACAAAAAACAGGTTGGGTACAAGACAGCCAGCTACAACCAACCAAACTGCCAGGCAGAGTAGACCTGCAAAGCGTGGGCGGCCCCAACGCAGTGCCCTTAATGGGTGGCAGATACCCAAGTATCGGTGTACACTGATGCAGGTAAGGAAAATGACACTGCAGTAGAGATTCCAATAGAAGAGAAAACGGACAAACTTGCAGAGTCCAGTGCCAAAGGGCCAGTGGTTGCGGGCTGCATAATAATAGATGAGGGTAGGCAGTGACAGCACATACAAAGTGTCTGACAATGCCAAGTGGAACATGTAGGTCGCTGTTGCATCCCAGGGTCGGAGGCGAAAGAAGAAGAGCCAGAGGGTTGGGGCATTAAGGCTCAGGCCCAGTACAAAGACAACTGTGTAGCTCACAGGAAGCAGGATAAACTTGAACTCCTCATTAAACCAGCAGTCCACCTCCATTTCATTGCTGCCTGGGTTTGGGCTGGAGCCTAGGGATTTGAGCGGCAAAGACTGTGCACTGGCCATGGCCCCCTAGAGGTGGAAAGGGCAGAAGTGAGAGTAGCTTAATATTCCTGCCACCACCACCACCAACCCCCAACCCCCGGCCCCGCCAAAAAAAATAGAATAGAATAGGATGGTTGATAGTTGAAGCATTAAGGGGTAGCTAAAAGCAGTGCATCTAAATGCAACTGAGGCCAGCCTGGTCCCTGTCTGAACTCCCTTGGTCCAACCCAGGTGATAGTGGAGCGCAAGCAGTTCTGAGATTCAGAAGGGTGGGTTTAAGGTGCTCTCATACTGCACTTGACTCCTTCAGAGTTTGGCTAGCTGAAGGGAGTGGAGGCCTATTAGGGCCACCCAAAGTGGGGGATGCCCAGATTTTCTACTTATGCCTTACACCAGCTGTCTATCCCTGTGAAGAGGAGTGTTTCTCCATAAGGTCTTTCATCTCATCCTGGTCCCAGTGTCTCCATACTATATTTACCTCTAATGCCTTCCCCTGCCTGCCCATATCCCAAGAGTTTCATGACCGCCCTTATCAAAGAACCTTGACACATCTCTTACCTGGTCCCCTTGAAGACGAGCACAGCTGACTCTAACCCCTTTCCCTTTGGCAGTCAGAGGACATATACAAGGGGGCGGTGCTGGGAAGGGGCCTGTGCCTCCTTCCATCCCTGAGAGATTGTCAGAGCTGGAAAGTCCCTTAGAGATTATCTAGTCCAACCCACTCACTGTACAAATTCAAAAACCAGGGCCCAACTATATTTTATAGCTTTATAAATGAGTTCATGAGAAAGTACACAAGGAAATGTTCAAGTTTACAGATGAGAGATGGAGATAACTAAAATTACCGGAAGACCATACATGGTAAATAAGCATGTAACAAGGTAACATAGACAAGGGCAAGATGTTTTTTAACATTTATGTGCCAGCTCTGTTCTTTAAATTTTGCATAAATCAACTCATTTCATTCTCAAACAACCCTATGAGATTGGGATGATCTCTATTTTGCACATGAGGAAACTGAGACACAGGGTCATTTGAGCAGTTAGTTAATAAATACAAATCTGAGTCCTGAACTTATGCTGTTTGTCTCCAGGGCCCATGCTTTTAACCTCCGCAGCATAAAGCCTCAGACTACTGTTCTTTGTTGTTCTTAGGTGCTGAGGTTCCGATTCATAGAGACCATATGGACAACAGAAACACCACCTAGGCATCCTCACAGTTGTTTCTATGTTTGAGCCCATCATTGTTGCCTTTCTTCGACAAAATTATTCTCTTTAAATGAAACAAAATGTGTAATTCAGAAATGTCCTGGCATTCTCAAAACACTTAGCTAATTTCAAACATTACTCTTTACTAACCTTACTAGGGCTATCTGTTTCTAGAGAGTCTTGAGTATGCATTGTGAGTAGTAAGCATTGAACAAATAATAGCAGAATCAATTTTTGTGTGTGTAAAAGAGAACTTTATATCAAAGAGCAATTGTATATTAAGAAAACATCCTAGCCTAGTCCAAGTTAAGTCCATAAATATTAGCCCTTATGCCCATCACCAGTTTATAATTTCCTCTTCAGGCTCACACAGCACATGTAATGACACCGAATGCGGGAAGAAAGATCACAGGTCAGTGGATGGTCACTTGTGGACCCAGTGGTGGTAGAAGCATCTCAGTGCTGGCATGGGTCTCCCCATGGCTCCTCCAGCTCCAAGGATCTGGCTACCATCAGCATCGCTACATGTGGTTTGTTAACAGGAATGTCTCCCAGGGGGAGAACATGGATCTGGCCTCCAGTAAGCTATTTATCTCCATTTGCACCTCCCAAATGAGAAATGAGGTCATCAAGCTAGCAGAACCAATTTTACAACCAAAGGAAAGGCCAGATTTCAAATGTTGACTGACAGAAAGAGGGGAAGAGAATAGATACTATGTTATCCGCATCTACCTGACAGCAGCTATTCCCTGAATTTTTGGTCCCTAAACGAATGGAAAAAGCAAACTCACTGCCACTGAGTCTATGCCAACTTATAGCGACCCTATAGGACAGGATAGAACTGCCCCTGTGGGTTTCTGAGACTGTGGCTCTTTACAGGAGTAGAAAGGCCTACCTTTCCCCATGGAGTGTTTAGTGGGATTGAATGTCATAACCATTATACCACTAGGGCTCCTGCCTTGTTTGAATCTACCAATCTGGCTCTCTGTGGCATAGTAGGAAATATCTTGAAAAACTGCTATTCTGTACAAAGGAATCATTGCTATGTATGAAATATATTTACTTTAATCTCCTTTCCACTTAATGCCTTAAAATATTATCCCAGAAAGTTAGTATTTGGTAGACATAATGTACCCATCAGTTTAATAAAAACTCAAATACTTAATAAATATAATCATTTTCTAATTCCTAAATTCTCCGAATTTACAAATGTCCTTCAAAATCCACCTAATCCATTAGGAAATTGACTCCAAGGAAGTCTCCAAGGGAGAGGGTGACAGGCCAAAAAGTTATATAAAGAAATCATGCAAACTGATATTTGGATAATAGAGCTCTTTTATCTCAGCCCTTACAAATTTATTTTTGTGACTCCCACAGATAAGCAATTTTTCATGGCACTTTCCATTTTTTGAGTGTCTTCAGAGCAGAAGCACTGATTTTGTTCTATACTATTTTTAAAATCATTTTATTAGGGGCTCATACAACTCTTATCACAATCCATACATACATCAATTGTGTAAAGTGCATTTGTGCATTCATTTTCCCTCATCATTCTCAAAACACCCGCTCTCCACCTAAGCCCTGGCATCAGCTACTCATTTTTCCCCCTCCCACCCCACTCCCCCTTCCCTCTTGAACCCTTCACCCACTTTTCTGTTGTCCATCCCCCAGGGAGGAGATTATATGCAGATTCTTGTAATCGGTTCCCCATTTCCAACCCACCCTCCCTCCACCCTCCCAGTATCGCCACTCACACCACTGGTCCTGAAGGGATCATCCGCCCTGGATTCCCTGTGTTTCCAGTTCCTATCTGTACCAGTGTACATCCTCTGGTCTAGCCAGATTTGTAAGGTAGAATTGGGATCATGATAGTGGAGGGGAGAGGAAGCATTTGGGAACTAGAGGAAAGTTGTATATTTCATTGTTGCTACATCGCATTCTGACTGGCTCATCTCCTCCCCGAGACCCTTCTGTCAGGGGATGTCCAGTGGCCTACAAATGGGTTTGGGTCTCCACTCCACACTCCCCTCCTCATTCACAATGATATGATTTTTGTTCTGATGATGCCTGATCCCTGATCCCTTCGACACCTTGTGATCGCACAGGCTGGTGTGCTTCTTCCATGTGGGCTTTGTTGCTTCTGAGCTAGATGGCCGCTTGTTTACCTTCAAGCCTTTAAGACCCCAGATGCTATATCTTTTGATAGCTGGGCAACATCAGCTTTCTTCACCACATTTGCTTATGCACTCCTATACTATTTTTCCAGTAGTTTGTATAGCAAACAGCACCAGAAGATAGAGACAAAGTCTCCACTAGAACAACATACTCTAGGCTGTGAAAGATTTGGGTGGGTCCATCCACGCCTTCCCTGTGGGAATTGAAGACAAGGGGAACTGATATGAACATACTCCAGCTATATTGCTGTGTGGTAAATGATAAAGTTTGATGTCTCTGTATCTTCTAATCGGTACCTATGAAACTGTTATGGACTGAGATAGAGTAAAATCTCAGACCCTTTTTCAGTTCTCAATAATATTAGTGACATGGAGGAGATAGTTCAGAAACATTACTTTCTGAATGAGGAATAAGGATATCATGTGCCAATTAACGGAATCTGAAGAAAGCCCATGAGAGGGGGTAGCAAGCCAAATTTTATGACCTTTGGGCTTTGGTGTTAGGCCAAACTGTATCAACTGAGCAATAGATGACTCCCCACTTTACTGCTGTTGATGCAGAAGAATTGGAGGTGGTTGCAAGCGATAATAGTGCAATGGTTATTGTGAACTCCCCCACAGGCAGTGGCACTTCCTCACTACTCTGTTAGTCAACTTAGGTCTGGCCCACTGTAATGACTAGTACCAGCATTTATCCTTGATAGGCAGAAAGTTCCACCCCCTATCTAACAGTAGTACCAAAGCTCATAAGGATATGAGCCGCTCGTTTGACCACACAACTTATCAAGTCTCCTACAGGGTCCTGACTGATAGTGACCCTATAGGATAGGATAGAACTGTCCCCTGTGAGTGCCTGAGACTGTAACTTAGCGGGAGCAGAAAGCGCCATCTTTCTCCCATAGATGGTAGTTTCAAAGTGATGACCTGATGTATTTCAGCCTAACTCATAACCAGTACACCACCAAGGCTCAGCTACAAGTCCCTATAAGTCCCCTTCTATAGGCCAAAGGGAGACATAAGGAGTCTGTGAGGTTTGGGGGGGAAATGCCTTTGTCCTCTAGGAGGCTGTTCTAGATGAAAAGTGTGGTTGTGAGTAGGGCATGATGGGATGAGGAGAGGAGTTAAGGTTGTAACGGAATAGGACACATGGATTTTGTGACATGAGAGGGAGAACTACTACCCTGTAGAGGAAGGACCACCATTTAGGAAAGTAACACCCAGGTGTGTGGAAAGGGAGGACCATACTGATCTTTGCCTTTCATCTTCATCCTGAGTGTCCTCCTCCTGAGGGAAACATCCTGGCCTGGCTGTTCTAAATGGAGGACAGCACCTTCAATTCAACACAATGCTGCTGGGTTTGCCATCTCCTGCCAGATGACTCTGACCACGGTTGGATCACTATTGCCCTTAATTTTATAAAGAAGTGATGCTGAAATAGCAGGGGGTGACCCTGATTCCTGCACCTCCCATGCAAAATATGGCAACATTTCTGTCAACATGTCTTCCCCAGCCCTATTCCCACAGTCGCTGCCCAATCATTCTGTGGGATAGAAAAAGGCCACCTGGCAGGTGGCAGAGACCAGCAGGAGAGCCTAAGTTGACTGCCATCAGAGCATACCTCCCAAAACAAGAACTGGGC